GCCTGCATGTTTCCTAGCTCAAACACTTTTGACCACATATATTTAAAATATATATATATTGAGTATGTGTATGCATATTAATTAAAGAGAACATATTTAGATCCTATATGAGATTTTAAATTAAATAAGGAATATATTAAACTTATATTATGTTAAATTATAAATTAGATTTAGAAAAATAAATTCTTTATGAGTTAAAGATAATTTGTATAGAAAAACGAAAGAATATTTAATTAGCTAATTAGAGCGAGAAGGTAATTAAATATATAAAGTTTATGAGGTAGGGAGGGGGGGTCAAAACAAAATGAATATTTTGTTCTTTGGGCTGCTTGTTGTCTCACAGTTTGGGTCTTGGCTGCTCTCGGGTTGGGCTTTGGCTGCTTGATTTTGAGCTTAAAAAGTTGGGTTCTACTTGGTGCTAGCTCATAAATGCTTGAGCTAAAACTTTAGCTCATTATATTGGTTAGTTCTCCTACTTTTTAGCTCATTATGATAAGTGAATTTGGTTCTTCCCCCTTGCTTGTTTCTTCCCATTCTTGTGTCTCCTTGGTTTCTTCTTTGTGAGTTATTGCTTTGTGCTGGCTGCCTTTTTTGTTCTCCCTGGCTGCTTTTCCCGTGTCTTCCTCTACCCCGTTTCCTGTGTTGGCTCCTCGGGTCCCTCTCTGGCTGCTTTCCCGTGGCTTGCTGGCTGGGTTTTCCGTGGCTTGATGGATGGCTTTCCACTGGCCTTCCTTCCTGTTTTTTGTGCAGTTTTTTTGTGAGTTGTTTGTGGTGTCTTTTGGCTTTCCTCTTCCCCTTAATTAATTGGTTTAATTAAGGTATTATGTGGTTGTTTGTCTCCCCTTTCTCTCCTATAAATATGTAGTGTTTTTGACAAAAAAAAGAATGTTGTGATGATGATTTTTGGAAGCCAAAACCTGCGGGTTTCATCATGCAAAAGCTTGCGAGCTTGTTCCATTCCTCTCTTCGTCTAGGAAAGCTTGCGAGCTTCTCCTCCTTCGTCTCGGCTTCTAACCTCCTTCTTCTATCTGCAAGTTCCCTTCCACTCGTATCCTTCTTCTCAATCAATCAAAGTATACAAGTTTAGGTGTTTGTGTTTGTGTTTGTGTCAAAAATTGTAAGTCTTATATGTTATAAAGTTGTTATTTTTGTTATTTCAAGAGTGTATTTATATCCGTTTTATTATCCTAGGAAGAGTTTAATTTTGCTTGCAAAAATTTGAGGTTTTTCCCAAATTTTTGCTTGCATCACTTTGGTATTAGAGCCTAGGTGTGTCTTCCTATGTTGTTTCGTGTCTTTTTTTAAGTGTTTAAAAAATGAAAAATCACAAAAAATTGAGTACGTTGTGGAAGAATGCAACCCAGAAGATCTTGAAGTCCCTCTTCTGATGGACAGATGGGTTCCGATAGATGGAGATTCAACATACCCATTTCAAAATGAACTTTACAAGATACAAAGATGGATGTACTTATGTGATGAGAAATTCAAAAAAAGAACTCAGGTACTTCTCGCCGAATTTAATCAAGAGATGGAATTGATTGAACAAAAGTACAAGGCCAAGATTCAAGAGCTTGATGCGCTTCCTTCATCTCCTCGGATCAAATCTAAAGAAAACTCATTGGGAGATGAGTTCTTTTAACCGGAGGAGAATTGATGTAGGCAGTGGGTGGGGGGGGGGAGGGGGCTAAAAACAAAATGAATATTTTGTTCTTTGGGCTGCTTGTTGTCTCACGGTTTGGGTCTTGGCTGCTCTCGGATTGGGTTTTGGCTGCTTGGTTTTGAGCTTAAAAAGTTGTGTTCTACTTGGTGCTAGCTCATAAATGCTTGAGCTAAAACTTTAGCTTATTATATTGGTTAGTTCTCCTCCTTTTTAGCTCATTATTAGAAGTGAATTTGGTTCTTCCCCCTTGGTTGTTTCTTCCCATTCTTGTGTCTCCTTGGTTTCTTCTTTGTGAGTTATTGTTTTGTGCTGGCTGCCTTTTCGATTTTCTCCCTGGCTGCTTTTCCCGTGTCTTCCTCTTCCCCGTTTCCTGTGTTGGCTCCTCGGGTCCCTCTCTGGTTGCTTTCCCGTAGCTTGCTGGTTGGCTTTCCTTCCTGTTTTCTGTGCAGATTTTGGGGGGTTGTTTGTCGTGTCTTTTGCCCTTCCTCTTCCCCTTCCTAATGGGATTAATTAGGGGTTTTTTGGTGGCTGTTCAGCTGTTGTCCTAGTATCTTTTGTCCTTCTATTTCCCTCTTTTAATTAAGATGTTAATTATGTTTAAAGGGTTGTTTGGCTGCCCTCTTTTCTCTTATAAATTAAAGATTGTTTTGATGTTTAAAGAGGCTGATATAATGTTATTTTTGGGAGCCTAAACCTGCGGGTTTCATCGTGGAAAAGCTCGAGAGCTTGTTCCACCTCTTCTTCTTCTTCTACTCCTTGGGAAGGCTTGCGAGCTTCTCCTATCTTCGCCTTGGACTTCTAATCTCATTCTTCTTCCCGCAAGTATCCACCCCATCAGTATCTTTTTTCTCGACGATTGGCAAAGCTTCTTTAGGTGTCTTTATTGTGTCATTTGTAAATGTCTAAGTTTGTAAGTTCTCTTATTTTATAAAGTGAAATTATTTTTAGTTCAGTTGCTGTATTTTATATCCTTTTGGGGATATTTGTGTCATTTCTACTTTCTAGGAAGAGAATCATTTGCTCGCAAAAATTTGGGGGCTCTTCCTAAATTTTTGCTTGCACCAGTTTAGTTTAGAAATTAAATAATAATATCTTTTATATAGGTGTTAATTTTATCGACCTCGAAGAAAGGAGTAAGAGTAAAGCAGCGCAATACCTAAGTTCAAGGTTAGTATTCATATTCCTATATTAGGTAATGTATTGATTCTTGTGTTTAATTATTATTTCAAATGATTTATCTTACTGCTTATTGTTGACTCGTGTAATGTAAAGAAACAAAAAAAAATATACCTGCATAGTGACAGATCGCACGTCGTCGCCGCCCAAATCGCGAATATCCCGCGACAGCCATTTCACCCACGTCGTATACACGACCCATTGGCGTCGTTAAATAGAAAAAGAAAACGAGGCCTTCGGCCTCGTTCGACCTTATTTTAATTGCATTGCTAATAATTTATCTTTCACATATGAATTGATTGATCATTTCAAATTATATGATAATTAGCATGTTATATTTTATATAAGGTTAATGAATGATTATGAATGAAATGACTAAGATATATATGCTTACATGTGTATGATTGACAAATGGAGCACACCCTTATGGTACTAGCTGGAGACGCAACATATCCGTACATATAAATGGAAAAGAAAATGGAAAAAAGTACCTTCATTGGTAATTTTTTTCGATACTGTCTAATGTGACGGTTGTATTATTTACGAGAAAGAATAAAGATATAAAATATGCATAACATTGACGAACATATTTAAATGTTTAATTAGAATTGTCTTATGTTTTGAAATTAAGCATGCATATTATTCTCAATATCTCGTTTTACTGTAATTTAGAAGCATAATTTTCTCACTGAGTTATTTTATGACTTATCCTTTTCATTGACAAATATTTAGAGGTATAATTTGATTAACTAAAATTAGTAGAAAGAAGAGAAGAGAATGTGTATTGCAGGCGAGACGCTCAGAGAGAAATGTATTTCTTTTGATTTTAAAATTATGAAATTTTTAGTGGCTCTTTCAATTTATTGGAGATAATTTTAGCAAATGAAAATTTAATCAACAGCCCAACCGTATGTTCCTACCTCGTTAATTTGAGCCTCCAGGCTGGTCGTGACAAATAAGCTCACGCCAATCGGCCTCACGCACGACTTAATTGCTTGCCACATTTGTTCACATAGTTGCAAATTGGCTCGTGCATGTCTTCGCATAGCCACGCATGAAAATGCCCATGATTTTTCTCCCTCTTTCTCTCCCATGCATTTGATTTTTTCTACTTCAATTTTGATTTGCCTCTCGCAGCTACAAATACAAGAAACCTTTTCGCCTTCTCTCCCTCGCTAAGCAGCAAAACCAATACAGTTAGTTTAGTTGAGCCGATACCAATGGGTTCCGATTTTTTTTTACAGGAATATTACAGTGATAAGCATGAAGGTCTTCTGCCGTGAGAAGATGAAAAGGCACAGGAATCCCGTTGAGATATACCCAGAAGGGTATTAGAAATGCGATGCCTGCAGAAATGGAAGCTAAATTTTGAATTTATTCTTTTCAAGTGGTGATTAATTATCATTACAACCAGAAGCACATACTTAAATCTGCAATAATGAAGCACGTGTTCGGTTGCACTTTTTTATTGTTATGATGTAGATGGTCTGCCGCCATAAGAAGAAAAGAACCAAAGATAATATTTACTCAACTTCTTAAAAGGGTATCAGAATACGATGCAAACCGCTGAAATTGAACTACACCTCAAATTTATTCTTTCCAAGTGGTTATTATTTTTCCTTGTAAGACAGTATGCACATAATTCACTCGGAAATACTATCAATTAAATTACTCAAATTCTCTCAAAAACAGATAAATTTGCGATGTTCTTGACAATATGATGGGGTGCAGTAAGTTATTTCCAAAACCGAAATATATACCAAGGGAAGACTAAGTAGGTTTATCAGAGTATTTGCAATCCCTATATTATTTTTTATTAAAAAATAGAGTTGACAGATGCTAATAGAAAATATACTGAGAGAAATGCATGGATAGGATGAATTGGACAATAGAAGCGACTAAAATCTTCTCTGAGCTGATAATTTCACAGCTCTTAGAGTGTACCAAAGTCTTTCAAGTTACTTCTGATCTTTCTAGAGGTATGTTGAGAAGGAAAATCACAAAAGCATTCAAGATCGATACAACATCTACAAATGTTCATGATAATCATTAACATCATTAGAAGAGAAAAAGCGGGAACGAAAGCTGTCTTGAATCCAATTATCAAAAACTTGTTAATTCATAAGATCGATAGTTTATAACAGAGACTTTTGCTCTTGCATACCTCAGTTTTTAGCCCATCATATGGATGAGGTTGATGATTGAAAACTTCTGCCCATCTATCAAATTATATAGGTTCAATGCTAGAAAGAGCATTAAAATGATCAAAAATCTCCAGTTTCAATAAATGCCTGCATGATGGAAAGAGTAGTGGCTTTTTTAAAAATTGAAACTAAAATTTTATCAGAGCTAAATTAAAAATTGAAACTAATGATATAAATATGAACACGGACTTGGAGCTTCCCAAAAAAAATACTTTCAATGTATTTATCTTTTATTTTCTAAAATATTACAGAAGATTTCAGTACCAAAATTCATTAGATCCAGCATATAGTGAAATATCAGGCATAGATTCTGTACGTCAACATGAATGATATGCAATTGATGTTAAACTAAATGCGAAAGCAAGAATTGCACTTTAGAGATTAATAAAAGGTTATAAACTTTGCGTACTACCAATAAAATCTAGCTTACTCAAGTGGAAGTTTAAGAAGATTCATGAAAGATTAAATAATAGCAATTAGTTACACTTTGAGATCACAAGAACTTGCAAAAGAACAACCAAAGAAAAATCTAAATAATGCAAATAGCCAATTATAACAAAGCCTTACGTTTAAAATATAGATCCTTCACCACGAGATCCTTTAATCACTCTTGAAGGTGAAGGTTAGCGGAAGAGGATCGTAAGCCCACTTAGAGATACCACTATTACACAAGTGATGCCGAGAGGACTCGTCGCCGGGGAAGAAGCGGGAGTTGGAGAAACGGGTGGATGGCCGTTGATGGTCCACTCGTAGTCCAAGAATTGATCGTCGATGATGTCCACGAGATGGGGAAGGATTCGGTTCAAGTAATCTTCAATGGTGTCGTCAAAACCAAACTCGACGTCGAAGAATGGTGATCGAACGATGTGGATATCTCCGTGGGCGTCGAGTACGAATCTGTGATCAACTTCGGGATCCGCCATGCATCCTTGCCGGAAATGAAAGAGCACCAATAGGGAGAAAGAGGGAGAGAGGAGGTGGCGGCTTGGAGGGGAGAGGGTGGGTCGGCTTGGGGTCTTGAGTGGATCGGCTAGGGAGAGACACCAAGAAATAAAAACAGGCAAAACTGAAATTATTTCAGGTTTTGGGTGAGTGAGAGGGAGTTAATTTCAAACTTTCAAATTAATTCCAAGGAGGGGAAAGGGGGCGGCAATGAGGAGGTTGGGGCTGATTTTGTGGAGAAATCAATGTAATTTTGGAAGGGGGAGAGAGCCCATCAAGGGGCCGGCCACATGAAGAGGAGAGAGGGCTTGGGTATTAATCAAATGGGGCCCACATAATTAATCACAGATTTAATCAAAAATCTGAATTGAAATTTCAGATTTCCTATGTGGGGAAAGTTTCCTAATGTATGGCAATCAATTGAATTAATTTGAATTGAAATACAATTAAAAAGATTGCCTAAAATCAAGGATTTAATTTAGGAAAGTCATTTGTCTCATGGGGAGATTTGAAATTTCAAATTTCAAATCCCAAGGAGGGAGGCCGGCGGCTGGAAGGGGGATGAGGCCATGGAAGGGGGATGGGGCCAGGGGGGGCGGGGTGGATGACCGGTGGGTGGAGATTACCTGGGAGCCGGCGGCTTGGGTGAGCCAATGGGGCGGCGGCAAGGCTTGAGGGGAGGGGGAAGGGAATTCACTACAGATAAAAAAAAACATGATTGAAATTGTGAAGAATCAAAGATCCACTCACCTTAAGTGATTCTACCCAAATCTCACAAAGAAATCTAAAACAAAATTTTAAGAACTCACAAAGAGATTTTTCTCCTCCAAGGAACTCACTAAGAGATCACCAAGCGGAATAAGCTTTTCATTCAATCATTAAAAACTAAAACTATTACATTGCAAGAGGCCTTATATAAGTAGGCCAAAATAAAATAAGATGAAATGACGTGAATGCCCTCAGGGCTACATAAGTGATTCAATGCCCACAGGGGCAAACTAGGAAATGAAATACAAGCGTAAATAAAACTACAAATAAATCAGAAATAGAGGCTATGGATCGTGGCCGTCGATCTGCATCTCCGGCAATGGGACACGTGTCGAAATCTGATGTCCTCATCATTCTCCCCAGGTGGGAGAAAACTCGACCCTGTCAAGTGAGCATCTCTAGTAGTCTCGTACCACTCCAGTAGATCAGGGTCCAATCTCTACAGCTCCTCCCGGTTGATCCACACGTTCTCCGTCTCCGATTTTCCTGCCCATTGAACTAGGTACCTTCGGCGACCACCATCTTTAGTGGAAATGATCTCATCATTAAGTATTGTCTCAATCCTCTCCGCAGTAGGTAAAGTGGGAATGTTTAGGAGTGGAGGTAGGCTGGGGATCTCACCAGATAGGGACACACAAGGCTCATCATGTAATGGATTGGTAGGGTTAAACTCTGGACCCTCATAGGTTACAAGATCTTCAATGTTAAACGTGGGGCTAAAGTTAAAATCTTCAGGAAGGTCTAGCACATAAGCATTACTGTTGATCTTGAAAATTATTTTGAAAGGTCCCGCGCTTCTCGCATGTAACTTTTTAACGGTCCCTTGCGGGAACCGCTCCGGACGAATCTGAACCATCACAGAATCTCCCACTTCAAATTCTTTAAACCTTTTCTTGAGGTTCGCAGTGAGTTTATAGTTAGCATTGCTCAATTCAATTCTTTTATTAATGTCTTTGTGCAATTCTTGTAAATGCGATGCAAATGCAGATGTTGATTCAGATGCTCTAGACTTAGGACCCATGGGGATTAGATCTATAGGTTGCATGGGTTTGTATCCGTACACAATTTCAGCTGGACTCAGGCCTGTGGTTCGGTTGACAAAATTGTTATAGGCAAATTCAGCAATAGGTAATTTAGAATCCCAGTCTCTAAGATTCTCACCTACCAAAGTCCTTAAGAGGTTTCCTAAGCTTCTGTTAACTACCTCGATTTGTACATCGGTCTGGGGGTGGAAGGCTGTGGAGATCTGTAATTTTGTACACATCTTGTGCCACAGTGTTTTCCAAAAATAACTCGTAAACTTAACATCTCTATCGGAAACGATGGTTTTAGGTAATCTCATCAAAGTAAAGCTTACCAACTCTGGAGGCATCATAAGTTTTAGAACAGAGGAGGAAATGGACCATTTTTTAGAACCGATCAACGATTACACAAACAGAATCGTGCTTCCTAACGATCTTGGGTAATCCTAGTACAAAATCCATACTTACATCCTGCCAAGGGCAGTTGGGCACGGGGAGTGGAGTGTAGAGGCCCGTGTTTTTCTTGCGTTGTTTGGCAAGCTAGCAGGTGTGGCATCTCTTTAAAAGTTTACTAACGTCGCGCTTAAGGCTGGGCCAATAGAATCGATTCTCTAGCGCGACAATAGTTTTGGATTGACCGAAGTGGCCAGCTAAACCTCCAGCATATAATTCCCATACTAGAAATTCCCATAGAGAAGTGTTGGGAATACAAAGTTTTTGAGACTTGAACAAATAGCCATCTTCCACAAGAAAATCATTTACTATACGCTCATCTCCGTTAGTCAGTAAAGAATATGTTTCTTTAAAATCAGGGCAGTCCAAGTAATTTTCCTTAAGTCGCTCAAAACCAACTACTTCCGTCCTCATTTCTTGAGTAACCATCATCCGACAGCTTAGAACATCCGCGGCTTTATTCTCAATTCCTACTTTATGTCTAATCGTGTAAGTATATTCTTGCAGGAATTCAACCCAACGGCCGTGACGAGCATTGAGTTTCTTCTGCGAATTAATGTAGCGCAAGGCCTCGGTCTGAAAAGATCACAAATTCTTGAGGCAAAAGATAGTGTCTCAAATATCTAAGGGATTGGATAATCGCATAAAACTCTTTATCTTAGGTAGAGTATCGCTGACGAATGTCGTTCAATTTCTCAATGAAGTAGGCAACGGGGTGCCCTTCTTGAGAAAAAACTCCACCTATACCAAGGCCTGATGCGTCACAGGTTACCTCAAAAACTTTGAAAAAATCAGAAATACGCATAACAGGTGATTCCACCATTTTTATTTTAATCTCCTCAAAGGCCTTGCTGGCATTTACCATCCAATGGAAATCTCCTTTCTTCAAACAATCAGTTATGGGTGCCACTATCGTGCTAAAATTTCTGATAAACCACCTATAGAAAGTGGCCAATCCATGAAAACTCCGAACATCTCTAATATTTTAGGCTCAGGCCACTCGTTAATTGCTCGAACCTTTTCGGGGTCAATTGAAATCCCTTGAGAGGATATGATAAATCCGAGAAAAGTGACTCGGTCTGTGAGGAACACACACTTCTTTGGGTTGGCGTACAATTGTTTTTTCCTCAAAACCTCACAGACTTGATTCAGGTGATTTAAGTGTAGGTCCACAGATGTCATCAAAATATACCACAACAAATTTTCCTAAAAATGGTGAGTCATAACTCTCATGAACGTGCTAGGAGCGTTACTAAGGCCAAACGGCATAACCATCCACTCATACAACCCATCTTTAGTCTTGAAAGCCGTTTTTCATTCGTCCCCAGGGCGGATTCTGATTTGATGGTAGCCACTCTTAAGATCGATCTTAGAAAATAGGGTTGCCCCGGTCATCATGTCCAGCATGTCATCCAAGCGGGGTATGGGGAAACGATACTTCACAATAATCTTATTGATGGCACGACTGTCAACACACATCCTATAGGAGCCATCCTTTTTAGGGGTTAGAAGGGCGGGGACCGCACATGGGCTTAAGCTTTCCTTTATAAATCCCTTTGCCAGCAGATCATCCACCTGCTCTTTTAACTTAGCGTGCTCCCCTGGGTTCATACGGTAGTGGGGAAGATTTGGAAGCAAGGCTCCGGGTACCAAGTTTATCGCGTGTTGTATGTCTCGCAGAGGGGGCGGTTGGTTAGGTAAGTCTTCAGGGAAAATATCATAAAATGTTTAAAGGAGGGGTTGGACCTCTTCAGGAATGGGTTCTCCTAATTCCTCATTTGTTTCACGAGCCACTAGGGAGTACATGGTGGTTCCTTGGTTAATCTTATCTTTTTACTTCCTTTGCAGTCAAAAGGTGTAGTCCTTTGCTTTGTTTGGCAGGGGTAGGCTTGGCTTCCGTTT